ATTTTATTGTTATATGTTCAAATTTATTTTATCATAATTTGCTTATATTCTGAGAATAAAATATTGTTTATAAAAAAAAAACTGATAGTAGCAAAATTAAGAAGGAATTATGTTTCTTTGACTGAGCAAAATCGTGTGTTCGTCTTCGTTTAGAAAGCTGATCGTTGGGTTATTTTGTTTCCTGGCAACCCTATATTGATTATGCACATTCATCTAATAGAATGTCACCTCCGCGAGATTCTAAACGCAACAGCTGACGAAGTTCAGCCCACATATGACGTCATGGTGAATAGATCTTCCGAGAACAATTATCAAACATTGGCGCCACCTGTAAATAACGGTGTATACGTAAATCAGTGACTTTAGTTGACAATTCTACATGTTAATCAAATAATTATAATTGGAAAGGTCAGTAGTGTTAGACCTATGTTTCAAAATTAGAACGTTCGTCGCGTCCTAATCTTGGGGGATTGCACAATTAAGAGCCAGGTTAAAATCTATTCTCATGTGTTACGTTTACAAGAAGTTTCATCGGTGGACTTCATTAGTTGATTGTTTTACAGGAATTCTGTCAAATCGCAACGGGGCCGTTTCATATTTGGTCATACTTTTTCCATTATCTCCTCCCTCTAAGCTGTTTCCTAGAAAGATAGGCAAGGTTATTATTATTATTATTCGAGTGCATATGGTATATTGTCTGCAAACTAACGAGTAAATCACACCCTTGTCAAACCAAATATGCAATGGCATAGTCTGTTAGTTTAAATTGTATAAACAGATAGAAATTATAATAATACATGGCGATATAAACCCCATCTGTCATATATTCAGGTCTGCTGCCAAGACGTTTTGAGGGGGGAAAGTCGCGGTGTATCTTACCAATACACGACGTAGCCTACATTGCAGGTAGCGTACTATATATATATATATATATATATATATCATAGTATAAAATATAAAAATAACACCGATTTGCTTCTACATGTTTCAATAATGTGTTATGTACATATTATATTTGTTTATTCATTCATCACTATTCATTCATTCATGCAATGTAATGTACCTCTATTGTGACGTCACGAGGGTAACCTTGCAACGTTATTAGTATCAATGGCTTCCTGATGAAAATATATTGAAACATGTAGAAGCAAATCGGTGTTATTTTTATATTTTATACTATGATATATGATACTGTACATTAGAACAACAACTCACTACAGCTATATATATATATATATATATATATATATTCAACTATTGGAGAACCATTGTCACTCACTCAGTGAATCATTGGGTCCATAGGCTACCTCCTGGAGTTTGTTAGTAGTACAGTATGACGGGCCTGACAAGGAAGATGATCTAGTAGTGTGCAGTAGGGAGGGGCTAGCAAGGAAGATGGCCTATGTAAGGCGGGTCTGACAAGGAAGATTGTGTTAGGCGTGCAGTATGGAGGGGCTGGCAAGAAACTTGGATTGTGTGTACACGTTGACGTCCACGTAAAAAATCGATTAACAATGGGAGCAGAAGCGGACGACGATAAACACCATTGCATTCCATTACAATATTGGGTAACGTTTACAGTAATGTATATATCTACCAAACTATATACCACTTATTATACAGTCCAATTTTCTTAATAGGGGTAAGGCGTTCAACCCCATTTCATTTCATTTCATTCACAATATTGGGTGACTTTTCAAGTAATGTATCTGCCTAACTTATATTATACGACATAGACATAGTTATTATGAAAGGCTAAATTTACAAATAGGTTGACTGTATTCAACCTTCTTGTCTTAATCGCTTCTACTTTAACTGCAAAAAAATTGAACCATGTGTTAGTCTCGAAATGACCTAGTTTGTGTCGAGTTGACGTTAACCCCCCTCTCTCCCTCTCTCTCTCTCTCTCGATCTCACCAGAAAATGAATCTACGATATGCAAACGCGTATGCTGACGTAGTAAAAGTAGCCAATTATTACACAAGAAAGCACTTAGGCCACACCTTGATAATTTTAATTACAACAACGCCACCTCACTACCGCCTTCAGATGCCGATGTTCTGTGTTAGAGACCATTCGCTAGTTGTTTAGAAATATAAAGCGACTTTACAAATGCCATAATGATCACTAAATGACTTAGCCTGTGCTTTAATTTATCTGAAAGCTGTTCTCGTTATAACGTATTATCGAAAATAAACTTGGTTAGTATGATTTATATTGGATTTGTTTTGACATTTCTTCATTAAAATGCTGCTACAAATATTAAGTGGCAAGAAACAACATCACAGAAACTTTATTGCTATTTCAACTATTTAATTTGTATGAGAGCATGAATTGAAGCCAGGTAGCAATTGAGTTGTCGGATCATTCAGATTCAGATCATAAACATTTAGTTATGTAGACTTAGAATTACTTATTTCTATTTCAGCAGCAAATGGTCAATGTGCATCTAGTACCAATATAGGTAAGATTTCCAGTTTGTGATTCAGTACCGTATAGGTAAGATCACCAATTGGTGATGGGTATCGTATGGGTAAGATCACCGCCAAATGGTGATGGGTATCGGATGGGTAAGATCTCGAGTTGGTGACGGGTATCGTATGGGTAAGGCCTCCAGTTGATGATGGGTATCATATGGGTAAGATCACCAGTTGGTGACGAGTATCGTATGGGTAAGGGGTGGATATGCCTACTGTTTCTTTAACACCTGGTACCACTTATCATTTGATGAATTCATATAGCTATACAATTAACTTCTGGTCAGCGGGTTCGGATGTATCAGTTTACCACACATTTCATGTGGCACGGCTTCGGATCTTAATTACCAACTGATTCCCGGAAGTAGCCAAATTGGTTATTACTCTGTGATATTATTGATAATATCATAATCTAGGTTTCATGGAAATCGGTTGATAATTGCGGTCTGCAGTCGTGCCACATAGAATATCTGGTAACCAGATATCTCCAAAATTATGCCCACTCCGAGATAGTATTAATGTTATCATAATATGAACGTTTTATTGAAACCGGTAATCATTACATGAAATATGGGGTAAACTGATATCTCGAAACCCGTTAACCAGAGCTATTACTAGTTTAATCATAATCTGTAAGTTTCATTGAAATCGGTTCATTGTTGCGATCTACAGCCGTGCTCACATAACATGTATGGAAACCCCATATCTCAGAAACTGGTAATCGAAATTGTGGCTACTCTTGAGTCATGTGGTAGGCTCTTGAAACGACTAACCACTCTTGCGAACTACAGGTGGTAAATAGCTAATGCCTACAATTAAACCACAGCGCATGTGTAGTGATTCCTGGTGTTTCTTGACCATAGTATTCTAAAATAACTTGAGGAATGCACATAGACATTTGAAATTTAGGTCGAACTGCGAGTCATGCAAAATCTACATAATGTACAGACATCATTTTAAAAAAAACTGAGTCATTTGCTTGTTTGGAGTGAGTTGATTTTGCAAACACAGTATGTAGTTCTGCTGTTACCCCAGACATGGCAATAAGTATTAGTGTTTTTCCTGGAGCGAATAATGTGATAAAAAACTAATTTGAAAGAAAACGCCACATAATAGCTGTGGGTTGATTTATTGTTAAAAGATGCTGATGTGACAAGGACAAAGTAAAGTATTCTATGTAGATATATTATCAAGTATTATATGATTTGATGTAAATATTTCAGTACCAATATGTACCAACAGTACTGTATACCCGTTATTGTGTTTATATTTCAGTACCAGTATGTACTAACATTACTCTCAGCTATACACAGATGAATATGCCAGTTATTGTTTGTATTAGAGTACCAGTATGTACCAACAATACTGCATACCTGTTAAAGTGTTCATGTTATTGTTTAATTATGTTACAGTACCAGTATGTACCAACAGCACTGTCAGTTATAAACAGATGTATATACCTGTTAATGGTGGCATGGCTGATGGTTGTCAGTGTGACATCACGCTGGTAGAAACACCATCAGAGACCGGTCAGAACATTGTTCAAGTATCCAATACGGTGAACCAAACGGAATGTGGATATACAGTGGTTAATTATAAAACAACCAACAATGATAGCTGGACGTGTTCTAATAACGAGATATCCCTCTATCAAGTGAGTTTAAATAAATCCTTCCAGTTGACATTTAGCAGCGATTCAACACCAGAATCAACTTCTACTGGATTCTGTTTACATTTAACCACGACAATCAACAACATTGAAACAAGTAAGTTGGAACAAAACGTAACAAATTGATATTCAAACTATTGAACAGGTTGAAATGGAATCATTTAACGGACCAATGTATAATTCGCTGAAATAGACAATTCTATCTGGTCCCAACTGATGAGGTTTTCACATACCGTTGATTGTCTTTAAAGTTATAAGCGTTTGTCTGTGATACATAATATAATTAATCATTCGAAACACAAACAAATATTACTGAGTGCATTCGGAAGAAAAAACGTGAATTGTATTCCAAAGCTGATCTCACTTTTCTGAAAAAGGACACTTGTATTTCTTAAAGAAACAGACACAACGTCAAAATTATATTACACAGACCTGACAGCATATATTTATACAATAAATAAGAAAATTAAAGATTGCAATAGTTGTATGATCCCATATTGTATGTTGTGATAAGGCCCACCGTTATGATATCATGTTGTTTGCTTTTTATATTCAACACAAATATATATATTCAACTTTTTATCCACATGCATAATCCAATAGTGACCAGTTCGGAACTTAAGAAAACTATAATGTGCTTGGTAACAGTAGGAACATACTGACAGAAACGTCGTGCCTATATTAAAGCAGGGCTAGCTTGTGTTAACTGAGAAGTAGCCTACTGTCGATTCCGTGACTGTCTGTCGTTTTATATGATTTCCAAATACACGTGAAGTTGTATCGAACAGAACAAGTACATAATAGATATAAATACCCCCTGTGTTATCTGTAGCCTATTAGTTCCCTTTCAGATGTTAGATTTATGATCACCTGTTGGCGTAACAATGCTACTACAGCATTTACAACCAGTGCCCCATCAACCCCACAATCTGAAACACAGAGCACAGACCTAGGATTGAAGGACAGTACACCAACAAGTTCTGGGACATCTATATGCGGATCGATGACACCAAATAACGGATTGCCAGGTAAAATTATTATGATAGGTAATTGGAATTATGTCTTCCGTTTGCCTCATCAAGTAATGATTTCCCGTTCTAGAGGACCTTTGGTTATTCCAATCCAGAAAACCATAGGGGACGTCACACTAGTAGTGCTGATTATGAAGAGGTAACGCGGCTTGAACATAAAGTTTAAATTATCGAAGTTATATTTGAATGACAACTCTGAACAATACGGTTTATTATATTTATGTAATGATATATAAGGTCGATCTGCTACCAATAACATCATACTTATGTCGTCAGTTAAAGCGTAACCAGGGATCTCCCCACATCTGTTTAATATATTTTTCTCATTTTGTAAGCTTTTACAACAAACTTTATTGAAATTGCTTGTATAGCTGTTTACGATAAAACTAGCTGAACTGATTCAACAACTTATTCACCTGACACCTGCTGACGAAATTGTTTTCGAAATTACACTCTTTAAAATGTGGACGATTAAGCTTGTTGTGGGCGTATTTTTTGTTGCCTTGTAACCTATGTTTTGAAACAATAAAAAAAAACAGTATTATACTAATATATTTTAGGCTTTTTGGACGTGTGTGACTTAACAAAAACTATTACAGAAAACCATTACTCGGAACATCCTCTTATTTTATTTTTAGTGGAGCGAACTGACTTATGAATTACAGCCCCTTTATATCAACCATTGTTTATCTAGTTACAGGTATAGCTGTTGGAGTATCATTTGGTTTTCTTGTCTTAATCTTCATCATTGTTATTCTCATATGGTAAGTAATCATCATCATTATTATATGGTAAGTAATCATCATCATTTTTATACTTATATGGTACGTAATCATCATCATTGTCATACTTATATTATGGTGAGTAATCAGCATTATTGTTATACTTATATTGTGAGTAATCATCATCATTTTCATGCTTGTGTGGTGAGTAATCATCATCATTGTTATACTTGTATGGGGAGTAATCATCATTGTTATACTTATATGATAAGTAATCATCATCATTGGTATACTTATATGGTAAGTAATCATCATCTGTGTTATACCCCCCTGGGGTGTAGGGGGTGATAAGAATATACCCTTCGTATGTCCTGCGTGTTGTAAAAGGCGACTAAAAGGATCCCTGTAATGGGGCAACGTGTTTGCCGTGCGTTGCGACCCGTGTCGGTGAAGAGTGGAATCCTGGTAATTGAGTGGGGATTTGGCTTGCGAGCCCTTTCTCTGTAACACATTACTTTGGCCCATGGTTCACCTAGACGGGAGGTTAGAGTGGCCCACTCTGATCAATCGGCTTTGGTCGTGTTAGTTGATGAGATGATAGTTTTTCCCCTTACTGTGTTATTAGTTTATAGTGCAGTTATACCTTTGTGTCCTGTAGCATCTTCTCTGAAACAGCGGCTTGGGTCAATCGGATAAAGCATAAGATCTCCTCTTTACTTTGTCTGAGTATATCACTGGCTGTTCTCGTTGGGCGTGAGCGCTGGATATCCGCGCTGTGGCCTGTACGGATGTTACAATCCTTGGTGATCGGAGACCAGTCAGTGATGAATCTTAAAAGCTGATAAATGGCTTCCCAAACAAAAAAACTTTGTCCGCCGAAACACGGACCGACAGATGATATTTCAAAAATATCAAATAAAACTTCCCGAACATGGTATAGGTTTCTGGTTTTTGAGAGTACCAATGAAACCATCTTAAGTAAACAGTCTCCTTTCTTAATTGCTAAAGGTCTCGCCGGGTTATCAGGTGAACCAAAAAAGCATTAAGAAAATGAGAAACGGTACTCTTCTGGTTGAATGTGCTAAAGAACAGCACTCTTTATCTTTATTAAAGTCGACATCATTAGCTAACATCCTAATTAAAGTATCACCTCATAACAGTCTAAATTTTTCTAGAGGTGTTATCCGTTCTCCGGATTTAGAAGGTAGCAATGAGGAAGAGATGCTTGAAAATCTCTCCTCGCAAGGTGTAACGGCCGTAAATCGCATTTCCATCAAGCGTAACGGTAACGTTATACAAACAAACACCTACATCCTGACATTCAACCGACTAGAACTGCCCAAAACAATAAAAGCTGGATTTCTCTTAATTACAGTTTCTCCTTACATACCTAACCCATTGCGGTGCTTTCAGTGCCAACGCGTTGGGCACAGCAAAAATGTATGCAAGGGAAAACCAATTTGTGCACGATGTGGCCAAGATGGCCACAAAACTGAAACCTGTCAATTGAAACATCACTGTGCAAATTGCAAAGGACCTCATTTTGCTAATTCAAGGGAGTGTCCTTTGTGGAAAAAAGAGAAACTGGTGCAACAGAAAAAAATATTTCTTACCCTGAAGCGCAGAAATTGGTTGAGCTTGCTACACCATCGCCCATATTTGCAACTTCGTTTGCAAATGTAGCGAAGCCAAAAACCATTTCCGTTGCTTGTCAGACGGAGTTGCCCCTGCCAGCTTCTGGGCAGACAGGATCATCTTCCCCAAAACCCCACTACCTCAGAAACCATTATTGATTGCTCTTGGCACCCAGACAAGTTCGTCGACAGTGCCCGGGGCAACTGAGGAGATTGTGCCAGAAACTCCTCCCGCATATGGTGGAAAGCCACCTTCTTTAACCTCAAAAGGTGGAAATCCACCCAAAACCACTCACGACCGACCTTCAACTTCGAAGGCCGGTTCAAAACTTGCATCTTTCCGAAGTAGGAAAGGCGAAGATGATCCTGTCCAAACCTATAACAGGTTCGGGAATCAGGACAATATGATGGATGTTGTTTTGGAATTTCGCGACCCCAATTCCAAGCAACATTCAAGAAGTCCTGTTCAACATCCCTGACAATGGTCAATTCCATAATTCAATGGAATTGTCGTGGAATTAAGCCAAATTTTAATGAAGTCCAAATTCTTATACAAAAATGTAATCCATTAGCTATTTGTTTACAAGAAACATTTCTTAAACATTCTGATAAACTATCATTTAAACATTTTGTTGCCTATCATCATTTTGCCAATAATGATGGTAGAGCACATGGTGATGTGTCCATTATTCTTAATGGAGATATCCCACAGAGTCAAGTTCCCCTAACCACTCCGTTGCAGGCTGTGGCGGCAAGGGTGACTTTACATATCCCTATTACTCTATGCTCTGTGTATCTACCACCAAGTTTAAATCTAAACCCCAGGGATCTTGATGACCTGATCGCACAATTACCTTCCCCGTTTATCATTTCGGGGGATTTCAATTGTCATCATTCACTCTGGGGTAGTCCTGACGATAATATCAGAGGTAATCAAATAGCTGACTAAATAATGATTCGCCTACTTATCTACATCCAGCAACTGCTTCTTTTTCTTCCCTCGATCTAACCATTTGCTCTCCAGTCCTATTTCAGGATTTTACGTGGAGAGTTAATGAAAATCTCTGTGGCAGTGATCACTTCCCGATTTTAATAAATAATAATGGACCCTCCCCGGTTGAAAGGCCGCAGAGGTTGAAGTTACATAAGGCTGATTGGACACTGTCTGAATCTTTGTGTCTCTTCTCTTTTGATACAAAGGAGTTAGAAGATGCAGATGAGCCTATGGCTTTATTCACTTCCACTCTTCAAGATGTAGCTGAGCAGGCGATTCCAAAAACCACGACTGAACCAAAACGTTTCAATAAACCATGGTATAATGATGATTGCAAATCAGCTCTGAAAGAGCATGATCTTATCTTGAGACGATTAAAGAACCACCCTTCCATGGAGAATATTGCAGAATACCAAATGGTCCGGGCGAAGGCCCGTAGAACCATTCGCCAAGCAAAGAAATCTTCATGGCAGGCTTATGTCTCAAGGATTAATTCCCGTACCACTTCCAAATCGGTATGGGATAGGATTCGTAGAATTAAAGGTAAAAGTAGTGCTTTATCAGTTAACCATCTAAATGTTAATAATACCACCTTAACAACATTTCCGATATTGCTAATTCTCTGGCCAGCACATTCTCATTCAATTCCTCATCAAATTTCTCCTCTGATGCCTTTCGGGGTATTAAACATCAGCAGGAGAAAAGGCCACTTAATTTTAAGTCCCGTAATGATGAATGTTATAATGAAAAGTTTTCTATTGTAGAGCTCCGTGATTCGCTTAAGCGGGCTCGGGACACTGCAACTGGTCCAGATGAAATTCACTATCAAATCTTCAAACATTTACCTTTTCAAACGCTATTATTATTATTAGATCTTTATAACCGGATTTGGGTTGATGGGAATTTCCCTCCTTCGTGGCATGAAGCCACAATAATTCCCATCCCTAAACCGGGTAAAGATCCTACGAATCCTACCAATTATCGCCCAATTGCTTTAACTAGCTGTATTTGCAAAACCATGGAGAGATTGATCAATCGAAGGCTTGTTTGGTACCTTGAGTCCAACAACTTAATTACTGACCTCCAGTGTGGATTTCGGTCCCAAAGGAGCACTCTTGATCATCTCGTTCGATTTGAAACGTTCGTCAGGGACGCTTTCATCCAGAAACAACATTTAGTTGCTATATGTTTTGATCTGGAGAAAGCTTATGATACCACATGGAAATATGGTATCATGCGCGACCTATGTTCATAAAAAATTTCTTAAAAGATAGGTCGTTTAAGGTACGCTTGGGGTCAATATTCTCTGACCCATTTCCCCAGGAAATGGGAGTTCCTCAGGGAAGTATTTTATCTCCAACATTATTTGCTATTAAAATTAATACAATTCCCGCGTGCCTTAAACGTGGGGTCGACGGCTCTCTATATGTTGATGACTTTCAGATGTGTTACAGTTCGACAAGTATGCAGACAATCGAACGGCAGTTGCAGCTTTGTTTGAATTCTATTCATCGATGGGCAAATCCAAGATGTATGCACTTCTGTCAACGAAGAGGTTTACATCCTGATCCGGAACTTACACTGGATGGAAGCCCCATTCCAGTTGTAGATGAAACAAAATTCTTGGGTTTGATATTTGATAAGAAATTATCATTTATCCCCCATATCAAAACCCTCAAGAAGAAATGTCTGAAAGCCCTCAACATATTGAGAGTCTTATCAAACATTGACTGGGGAGCATACCGTAAGGTCTTGCTCAGATTATATCGAGCTTTAATAAGATCTAAACTCGATTATGGGTGTATTGTGTATGGGTCTGCCCGCGGGTCGTATTTTAAAGAGCTCGACACCGTACACAATCAAGGAATTAGAATCAGTCTAGGAGCATTCCGTACATCTCCAGTGCAGAGTTTATACGTCGAGGCGCACGAGCCCTCATTGCACGACAGACGTGATAAACTGGCACTGCAGTATGCTACAAAAATTGCATCTCCACCTCATCATATTTCATATAACACCATATTTAGACCATATCATGAACATCTATATATGCTGAAAACTAACGTTATTCCACCATTCGGTATTCGTATTCAACCTCTTCTGTCAGAGGCTGGCATCAGTCATGACAGTATTGCGAATACCCCTTTGTTTAGTCCTCTACCCTGGACTATATCGCCTTCAAAGATCGATTTAGATCTAACGAAACACAAAAAGAAAGATACTAGTTCCACGGTGTTTCAGTCTCTCTTTCGAGAGTTAAGGTCTAAATATGGTGATTATGTTCCCATTTACACAGATGGTTCCAAAGATGGTGACCGGGTAGCTTCGGCTACCGTCACGCCATCTGGAATCATTTCTGTTAGACTTCCACCTGCTGCTTCCATATTTACTGCTGAGCTCCAGGCCATCTTTCAGGCTTTGGAGTTCATTCAATCCTCTCCATCTTTAAAACATATTCACTGATTCTTTGTCCTCTTTACAGGCAATAAACAATAAACAGCTTGTACACCCATTAGTAGCAGACATTTATCTTCTGTTACTATCAAATGGATTTAACGGCAGGGACATTGTTCTTTGCTGGCTCCCCAGTCATGTTGATATTAAAGGGAATGATCAAGCAGACTTAGCTGCTAAGTCTGCTTTAGATCTTCCCATAACAAAATTTGTTTTACCATTCACAGATTTTAAATCACCCATAAACCTTTTTATATATGACCGCTGGCAACGGTCTTGGGATCTTGCAGACACAAACAAACATCATCACATTAAGCCTCTCTTAGGAGACTGGCCAAGCTCCTACATGAGAGATGAAGTGGTTTTGTGTCGCTCTCGCATTGGTCATACATTTTTAACTCACATTTTCATATTAAGCATCTCAAAGATATAAGATCACAATTTTACCGTTGTCAGTCATTAAATCACATGTTTGGCCAACCGGGTGTGTATAACAACGTGTTAGATATTTTAAAAAGAGACAGGATTTTATTATAAATTTTAATTGTATATATATATATATCATTTCATTTTTGTATTTAATATTTATATGCATAAAAGATTGATTTTTTATTTCTAATTTTACTTACTGTGATATTGTTTTTATTTATGCATATAATTTTTTCTGTGATATAATTTAGCCTGTCTCAAAATAATCACCATATGTTTGGCGCAATATAGCCCGGTTGGAGCTGACGTGCCATAAAACCATATTTCATTTCATTTCATTTCATCATTGTTATACTTGTCGAGTAGTACTTGTCTAGACACATGTATTTAATTGTAAGTATTAATTATGGTATAGTCATATATGGTGAGTAATTATTCAGAGTTATGCATAGTTATTACTTCTAGTATTATATTCTCTGATTGGGCTTATTACTTCTAATATAGTCTTATGGTAAGCATTACTTCTCTAGAAACCTGTATCTAATAGTGGTATAGTCCTGCATGGTAAGCATTACTTCTGTAGAAACATGTATCTAATAGTCGTATAGTCCTGCATGGTAAATATTAGGTCTCTAGAAATATGTATCTAATTGTGGTGTATATGGTAAATGCTACCTCTCCATAAGTATTATCTATTTGTGATATAGTCTTACACTATATTTGTTTTAATTATTTTAGTATAATACGAAGAAAGGATAAGCTACTTGATGAATACGTATCTAGATCTGACGTCAACCATCCTAATAACATGTATGACGGCATGACACCAAGAGAAGATAATCAACAGTATGAAATGTCATCTGCGCGAGATTCTAACGCAACGACTGACGATGTTCAGTCTACATATGACGTCATGGTGAATAGATCTTCCGAGAACAATTTTCAAACATTGGCGCCACCTGTAAATAACGGTGTATACGCAAATCAGTGACTTTAGTTGACAATTATAAATGTTAATCAAATAATTATAATTTAAGTTTGAACAGTTTTAATGGCTCTGTTATGTTCGGCCGGTTGTCAACACGGTTTCGCATCAATGACAATAACGCTGCGAATAAACCTGTTCTAATCTTGTTACCGTATGATCTCCCCTTATCAGCGGTGCAGGACGGGGGGCATGACAAGGGCAGCTGTCTAGTCGTTACGATAGGACGAAACACCAAGGTCCTTTGTACACAATGACGTGCACGTAAAAGATGAATTGGCAGTTGGAATTCGATATAAGAGTAGGGCGTTGTGCCACTGTCCGAGAAAATTTCCCTCATAGCACACTGTATAGGGTATGCCCGTCTTTATTAGCAAAATAGTAGGACCTTAAACCCCATTTCATTTCAATTATTTGTTCTAATCTTGAAGGTTCGCGCAAAGGCAGGTTAAAACCTATCCTCATGTTTAACGTTAAAAATAAAATTTGACTAGTTGATTGTTTTACTAAAATGTCCGCCTGTCACATTGCAACAGGGCCTCTTTGAATTAAGTCACTATTTTCGTATATTTGGCCCGAAGCAGACCACCTTCTCTTCCTCTAAGCGGATTCCTGAAAGATAGACACAAGATTTCTTATTTGTCCAGTGCTTATGGTATATTGTCTGCCGATTAACGAATGAAGTATATTACCTTGTGGCTTGGTGGTCAGTTGCTAGTTAAGCCAGGATATGTGGCGCTTCCCGCCTTTAAAAGGCAGACACTGGCATAGCGTTTTCAGAACATCATTCAACACGACTTTAAAGTGAATAAATTGTTTAATCTAGCGCTGTAATGATTTATTGGATGCGATAAATCATGTAAATTGTTTTATCTGAATATTGTATTTCTTGTATTGAATTACTGGATGTGACATAAATATAGAAATTAAAAACCAGTGTCGTCCAGAGTTTTAACTAATGTGATAACGACTACTGGCGACGAAAAAGTTTTGAAAAATCGCGGTGTCAACATACTCCTCGCAAACACTGCTGGACTGACTGGTGATTTCTGTCATAAATTATGACTGGCTAACGGTCAGGGTAACAACCAATCTATTACAGCGTAACAATCAATCGGACTAAACATATGTCAATGTAACACGTTATGACAATCGCGGCTACATTATGTCACAACAATGAGTCATTTTCCAGAGAATAGCAGAATATTATGGAAGAGTATCGCTGCCAATAGTAAATGCTCTGCTACGATGTCTTTTCCATTGATTATATGTAAAATGTACAATGTACAATGTCCTATTCCGGTAATGGTCAAGTCAAAATACCTGTAAGGTGAGATTTAAATGTAAAACATCAAAGGTTAAGTGTTCAATGACAAATGTTTGTGGGAAAATCCTCTTTTTGACGTGTCTACATTTTACATTTCTCTCATTACATTTGCGCTCTGCCACATCCCATTTGTCATTCACGCTTTCTACATAGCAACTTTCGCACAGCATCAACTTTCATATGCAAATGTAGGATATCACGCGACTTATTAACATATACGGAAACCTGGCACACTATAATCCAGAACAAGTATATTCACGACACTATTACAGGAAATCAGCCTAGCACACAATAAAAATTTACTTACCTTGACACTTTGGATGGTACTTTACCATGATTACGGGAGCTGGGTGTGGGGGCTGTGCAATGTCCAAATACGAAATTCCAGGTATCATGTTACATATTAGTGAAAAGCACGTTCATTTCTGTTTGTAAATATATAAATATTTTTCTGGTACAATCGTATTTTATAATTCAAATCCAATAAATATCACACTATTAAAGGGGTATTCAAGTAAAAATACTTGTCTAAATACGAAATTCCCGATACCATATTACGTACCACTGATTGCTCTTTTCAATGCAAATAATTTTCTGGCACATTCATATTTGCTTAACTTTACAAAATAAGATTAAAGTTGAAGTGACAGAAGGGTGGGTAGAGGACTAAACAAAACTAAAGTAAAGATACAGGGGTTAATCAAACATTCTGTATGTCCATACTAAAAAATGTATAGTCATTCCTCTCTTTAAATATATTATTTATTTGTTGGGCACAATGCTTATATATTGTTGTTGTTTTAATGGATCAAAGTAGGCTACTCAACTCCGTTTATAGAGAGACCGGAAAGAGTGGGGGTGTTTAAAATATCAAAATACGGGTATTAATACGAAATTCTAGTTATTGTGTTACAAATTACTGGAAAGTGTGTTTTTTGGCTGTTTGAATCTATCAATTATTTCCTGGCACATTCGGGGATCACGTGGCTAAGTGGGTAAGACGCTAGTTCGCTAGCCTGGAGGTCGGGTGTTCGATCCCTGCATTGGCCGAGAAAGTTCATCCAGATTTTCCGGCGTGGTTCTCCCTTGTCAGTGATGCAGGACGGGGGGCTGACAAGGAAAGCTGTCTAGTCGTTCGGATGGGACGAAAAACCCGAGGTTCCGTGTACACATTGGCGTGCACGTAAAATATCCCTTGGCAGTTGGAATTCGATATAAGAGTAGGCCGTAGTGCCGCTGTCCGGGCAAAATTTCCCTCATAGCACACTGTATGGCGTATGCCCGTCTTCATTAGCCCAGCTTAGGAGCAGAACAGTAGGACGTTAAACTCCATTTCATTTCATTTCATTTCCTGGCACATTCATGATTACGCACTTTCGTCTAGATGGTTTAACCTCACTTTCCCCACATTTGATTGTTTTGATAGAGGATTAGGAGGTTAGTAGACCGTGGGTGTAGGACTATAGTCTGTTTTAATTAATTAGTATCACTGGTGTAAACTTCTCACTCTAGCTATTGTTACTGGTGAACACTTCCCACTATCAGTAGATTGGGCAAATTAGTGAAATCGGTTTACTAATAAATTTACATTGTGAGCTGTTTTGATGTTATAATTAATTTGAAATAAAAACAAATAAAGTTCTGATATTTAATCACAGCTTATCAGTTAATATGTAGCTCCTCTGAATCGCAAATGGTCATTCCAAGATGGCGAACGCTCTGGTTAACTTTAAATACATTGCTAATACTTGAACAGGAATATGTAGAACTAACCATCAGCCAAATAGAATCTGGGCGCAGACTTGCTCCCAAAAGAAGAAAGTACCACCGCCTTGATGAGAGAAGCGTAGAAGAGAAGAATTTTTTAATAACTGGTGCCAAGACCCCCATTGAATACCTTAACACTGTTACGAATTTTGTTGGACTGTGAATTGTCATGTTTATCAAACTGTTTATAAATATTTATACTATAAAAATGTATTTATTTATGTATTTACTATGTTTAAGTGTCACAAACTTGTTACAGACTATACTTTAAATCCCCTTAATTTACTATGTTTAAGTGTCACAAACTTGTTACAGACTATACTTTAAATCCCCTTAAACCCCCTTTGTTGGTTAATTAGTCATGACCGGGTGGACTTTGACTCTAGACAATAGATGTGGGGAAAGTGAGGTGTCCCCGTCTAGATAGTTTCTTATGGTGTCCCAGCTTGATTTACTGTTATCGTGCATTTAACACTTAACATATGACGGTTTACATTTAACTCTTGCTTTAGAGGTATTTTGACTTTATCATTATCGGTATTAGAACTTTGTACATTGTACTTTTTACACATAATCAATGGAAACGACATTGTCGCAGAGCATTTAATATTGGCAGCGATACCCTTCCATAGAATATTGCAGAAAAACTCATTCTGTGATAAAGTACCCAGTTTGGTAATCGCCATATGCAGAATCGCTTTATCATCTGTTGAACCACACAGCAATATTTACACCATGTTTTAATATGTTTAATCACTGTCCGAGTTTTAGGGCAGACCTCAGATCAACGAGACGAACTGTCGTGTTACTTATATACCTTTATCATTCAGATAAATATTCTATGGCTGAATTGGTTGTCAACATTTGATCATATCTAGGTCATTCGCTCCATGATCCGATCTTTTATAATGCTCTCATGTTTCAGCCCTAAAACAAGATGTCGACGCTCATGTAATTAATTCAAGAATTGTCATTTCAGAAATATTTATTTTCATTGTCTATTCAAAGTCCAATACGCTTACGCTTTTTATGGTACAATTTATCTCTTGAAGGATCACATCTATGGTTTCAATTAATCCTAAGCCGTGGTCACGTTTCATGTTTATTTATAATAATGCATGAACTATGGGATTTTATGTCGGGAAGGGGTGCAACACTTTCTTGACACTGGCCATAAAGTTGCATTACACGTTCGTAACCGAGGGATGTTTCTTGTGCTTGCTTACCCTTTAAACTAGCGTTGCTTACCCTTTAAACAAGCGAGGAAGACTTAAACGTCCTGGGCGTCCGAGACTACATTCTGGGTAGAACTACGACTTCGAACAAAGATACACAGAAAAGATTTGATTGGACGATAAAAAAAACACTCCATCAAAACCCCAAATCTTCGCCCCTAAGTACAACAATGGATAGACGGGGAATTCTCGTGTTATTGCGTCAGGAATATGCCTTGTTGAAATATTGGGTAGTCCTGGTGATTCATTGCGTCAGATATTGGCACACCGTCAGGGAAATGAAATGAAATGAAATGGGGTTTAACGTCCTACTGTTCTGCTCCTGTACTGGACTAATGAAGACGGGCATACGCCATACAGTGTGCCCGGGCAGTGGCACTATCGCCTACTCTTATATCGAATTCTAACTGCCAAGGGATCTTTTACGTGCATTCCAATGTATACACGGGACCTCGGTTTTTTCGTCTCATCCGAAGGACTGGACAGCTGTTCTTGTCGGGCCCTCCATCCTGCACACCGTCAGGGAGATCTTGGGTTCACTCTCGGTGTTTCTGGTGATTTTTAGCAATGTTGAGCGTTTAGTGGTACAGTATGAAAGGGGTGGCAGGAACCCCATATAAACGTAAAGATGACTTTACAATCGGTACATCGGGAGAGAGAGAGAGAGAGAGAGGGGGGAGAAATGGGATTTAACGTCCACTCGACACAAACTAGGTCATTTCGGGACTAACATATGGTTTAATTTTATTTCAATAATTCGCTTGCGCGTAGGGGTCTTTAGCAGTGGGAGGAAACCAGAGGACCCGGAGAAAACCCACGAGGTTGGACAGGCGACGGTACATCGGATTAGGACGTTACAATATCTACGTAGCTATAATGTATACCACTTATATAATATATATTAAACATTCAACTCCACTGTCTTAATAATAGGACGTTAAATCTTATTTCATTTCATTTAAAATATATCTTGTCACATTTATATATTATACTCTACCGCATAGAAACAGTTATACTTCATAGCTTAATTTAGAAATCAGCTGACTATTCAACCTTCCTGTTTTAATACCTGGGTACACACATGACTATGTTATATGAATATAACTCCTTGCATATTGTTACACCAGTTATATACTTCCTTGTCTACTAATACAACATACAGGTATATACGAATATATTAATCTTTCAACAGGGGTATTATACTCCCATTAATGTTTGTATTGTATTCATATACAACCGTTTAAATTGAATTGATCTATTTTGTTTACCTTACCCGGATCATGTGTTATGTTTGACAGAGTTTGACGATCTTCAGACATATATGTCAGATGTGGATATTCGTGTCGTGGCGTGATCGTTAGTTGGTCTGTACAAGATACTTTACAAGTGAATATTTCACACAGTTATTACGAACTGGTTTACAGCTACCGGTGTTGCCTTCACAGTGATGAACCTCGGAGAGAGCAAGTGTAATTGACTGAGTTTATACTTGTAACCGTATCACATCTACACACATTCATGACAAGAAGATGTGTGTT